TTCCGCTGCGAACGGTGATCTATTATAGATGGAGCGGCGCAGAGCTCCAAACCTCAATACCGTAACAACCCGAAACCGCTAGCCCACCGGTTGGCTGCCAGTGCTGCAGCACCGTTCACTTTTCATCCTGAAGGAGCAGTTCACTCCACGCGGCTGTATCTTCTATATTGTCTATCTGTCATGAGCTTCATGTTCATGATGTCATCCTCTTTTCTCCGCCTCCTGCCTCGCAGGATATTTAAGCGTGTAGAGCGTTCAGCGGGGAGCTAAGGCTTCTCCGCAGTTGTCTGACTCCTGGCCAACGGAATCGCCGAGCTATCTCGACGCCCCCGCCATCGCCTAGTCGCTGAATCATCAAGGCCCGGTCTGTCCACGTAGAGGAAAAGGATCGGGCCGCTAAGACCGGCGGACTCGCAAAGGCAAGCTGCCCCTTTAGAGATAGAGTAGGTGGAGTCAAAATCAAATCTCAAAGCTTCAAGTCAAGGAATTCAAGAGCATCAATTATATTGGTCGTAGGGACTTAGGCTCATTCTAATTATGAAAGTTCTAGAAATAATAAATATACTTGTTGTAATGGGTGAATTCCAAAATATGAACCACCAAACACTTACATCTGGGGAGTATGCCCTCAGAACACTATCTAATGGGTTACTAATCCAAGCACGATGTCTGATGACATGGGATCGAAATTAGGATTAACTCGTCCAAACGGCGTCTTCTTCAGTTGCTGCCCGTCAATAGTCAAAAATCAACGGGCAAACAAAGTGATGTCATTTTGCGTGTTCCTGGCGGATTTCCCTTCTCTACTCGTCATTAACCACCCATTAGCCTTCCCTTCCACTATAAACAGACCCAGAATCTATCTTAATCGCTGCACCTAATTGGAATGGCTAACAGACCGGTAGGATTAAAAAAAGTGCTGACCTTGTGGATCACATCGATGGGTTCCGTCACCAACAGATCCTGGTTTGCATACGCATGCAAATGTGTTCGCTTCGTGATTAAAGACACACTGTGCATTGGCGTGACAAAGACGTGGCTCTTCTCGACACGTCTGAGGTTGCGCATGAGGAACACATCGAACTCCGTCTCCAGTGAAGCCTAGAAAGCGCTTTATCAAGTCGATAAATACTGTAGATTTCATGAAAAATGTAGCACTGCTAAATGTGC